TTTACATTCAATTTTTTAAATGAAGTGCTTGGCGTTGCCCTTGCACTAATTTTAAAAATCGCTCAAAATAGTCTCCTTTGTTTAACCCCTGACCCTGACCCCTGGTTTCTTCATACAGAATCCGTGTTCTGAAATGCTCAAATCACTCAATCCCGTACAAAGTTTGATCACATTGTACAAAAACTTCCGCAAAACATCATAATCTCCTTCAGAAGCCTGATCTGGAATTCTGCACCCTCCTCTGCCACCCCTTTCGAGGACCTTAAGGCCAAGTTAGTGTCCTCCTACAGCCTCTCACGCTGGCAGCAAGTAGCTAAGTTATACATCGTCTTGGGTTGGGGGATCGCCATCCTACTACCCTCATGGACACTATTTGGGGCCTTCTCCCTGAAGATAAGGTTCCTGGCAGTTTATTTCTCAGCCTGTTTCTAGAACCATCACCTGGTGGCCTAGGATTTCAAGAACCCCAGCGAGATGGTGTTGCACACCGATAAGTTGTTGGACACATGCAGAGTTCAGTCTGCAGACCCCCTTCTAGCTACTGCTGCTTTCACGTCAAACCCCCCCCCCCCCACCCCACTTGGGCTTGTGATAGTTATTGTGGAAACACGTCTCCTGCCCGCTGTAGCCAAAAGCCAGGACCTGCAAACTCTGGACACTGATATTTCCACAAACATTTTGGTTCATCAGCTAATAACTGCTGTCCACCCTGCAGCTTCCAGGGAAATTCCAGAGCCGACAGGAAGAGGGACTAAACAGACTTCCCATCAGCGGGTTCCTTATATATCTCCGTGATGTTCTTACAAACCCCAATTTCCTTGTGGACACTGGAGCTTCCTCTTCTGTTTTTCCACATCATTCATCAGCAGCACTTACAGGCCCCAGTCTCCTGATTGCTGCCAAACACTTGGTACAATCTTGAGCTTTCAATGTCAAACCGGACATGATCTCGTTATTTATCAATGCCAAACACTGGGCACAATCTCAACTGTTTTATCACTGCCAAACACTGGGCATGATCTTAACTATACTATCAATGCAAAACTACTGGGCACGATCTCAGAGACTATCAATGCCAAACACTGGGCATGATCTCAACTATTCTATCAAGACCAAACCACTGGGCATGATCTCATAAACTTGTTTGCTAAAGAGGAACAATAACTTCTTGCACAGAATTCAAAGCGGAGTCTATTGCAATTAAATATATTTGGGTTTCTATATTAAAAGTTAACGTTCATCAAGGTAATTACAAGTTTTACATCGATATATATATATATATATATAACATAGTTAAGCTAATCATGATATTAAGTTACTTACAGTGCAGTTAAGATAAATCATGATAAGGGTTTTACATAGCTATTTAAAACGTATAGATGATGAATAATGTACAACATAATTCAGGTTTGCAGATATAGTATTACACGATATTTATTACAGACTGTCTTTTTTTTCTACTATTGATATTTAAATATTTATAGAGAAGTATACACCACATATCCTTAGAGGCCGTCCTCACAACTTCTTTAATGGGTACATATTTATGTTTTACTATGTAACCTAACGTAAATGTACAAAACATGCATATTATCAGCAGAAAAAATCTTATTTTCTAAAAACAATTTTGTTTATTAAAAGTTATGCGTTAAAAGTTATAATAACAGATCCAAAACAATATATGTACTAATAAATCATGTTGAAATAGTAAATGATTCCCAGGGTTCGTCTCAGCCGATATCAGGCTTAATTCCTGAAATATAAAATAGATAGAACTTTAATATATTTATTCAATATAAATATATATGAAATATATCTATCTATATGTAACTATAATATAAATCAACAGTATCGACACAAAAAAAAAATAACAGCTGTGACCATGGTGTACACAGAATTTGTTTCATCTTATTTATCAAATTCATAATTGATAATGTATAACATTATGATATTTAAATCAGAATTGAAAAACTACAAGTTCTGTAGCTGGGTAAAGGGACTAGTGAACAGCCTGTAGTTGGGTAAAGGGACAAGAGGGACACCCTGGAACTGAGTAAAGGGACAAGAGGGACACCCTGGAACTGAGTAAAGGGACTAGTGGGACACCCTGTAGCTGGGTAAAGGGACTAGAGGGACACCCTGTAGCTGGGTAAAGGGACTAGAGGGACACCCTAAAGGGACAAGAGGGACACCCTGGAACTGAGTAAAGGGACTAGTGGGACACCCTGTAGCTGGGTAAAGGGACTAGAGGGACACCCTGTAGCTGGGTAAAGGGACTAGAGGGACACCCTGTAGCTGGGTAAAGGGACAAGAGGGACACCCTGGAACTGGGTAAAGGGACTAGTGGGACACCCTGTAGCTGGGTAAAGGGACTAGAGGGACACCCTGTAGCTGGGTAAAGGGACTAGAGGGACACCCTGTAGCTGGGTAAAGGGACTAGTGAACACCCTGTAGCTGGGTAAAGAGAAATGAAAGCAGGTGGATTCAAGATTACTTTGCTTTAAACAAATAAATATAAAACAAGATCAAAATAAACTCTAATCTTACATCACACCCCGGGACATGCAGTTAACTAGAAGATCAAATTTATGCGACATTAATGGTACGAAATAGTAACCTCGTAGCACCTCTAGTTTTAATTAGTGCACAAGTATGATAACTTATTTTGCTATATATTAGAAAATTATAAACAAGAGCATAACAATGAGCATGATTTATGATTAAAAACATTTAAGATTTTAATTTTACTTACATTTTCTTGTACTGTGCACACTTGCTGTGTTCCGTGACATGGGAAGCTATTTAAAGTTTCAACTTGAGACTACAAGTTGTCTTTGTATTATACATTTCTATGCATCTATTCCCATTATTATTTCTTTAATTTTACTATAAACAAGCTCCTGCCTAATATTGTACTCGGAGCAAGGTAGAGAGTATACGTCTCGTCCTGTACACACCAACATACCGTATATTGAGGTTGGGTAGAGAGGTTCAGTTCAACCGAGGTTGCTGAGTTACAATCATAAATAATTCTACCTTTGTGGGTTTACTTGTCAACCCGATACATAGTGAAAAACCTTGTCTAAACTTGAAACCTTACACGGAGTTTAGTGAAATGCTTGTCTAAACTTGAAAAAGAGTTTAGTTAACTACTAGTCTAAACTTGAAACGTTGCACCGAGTTTAGTTCAATACTAGTCTAAACTTGAAACCTTACACGGAGATTAGTTCAATACTTGTCTAAACTTTGAACCCTTCATGGAGTTTAGTTAAATACTTGTGTAAACTAGGAACAATTCATGCAGTTTAGTTTATTTATCTAGTAGTCTAAACTTGAAACCTTACACGGAGTTTAGTTCAATACTTGTCAATACTTGGAACCCTTTTTGGAGTTCAGTTAATACTTGTCTAAACTTGGAACCCTTTTTGGAATTTAGTTAAATACTAGTCTAATCTTGGAACCCTACACGGAGTTTAGTTCAATACTAGTCTAAACTTGAAACCTTACACGGAGTTTAGTTCAATACTTGTCTAAACTTTGAACCCTTCATGGAGTTTAGTTAAATACTTGTGTAAACTTGGAACAATTCATTCAAGTCTAAACTTGAAACCTTTCACGGAGTTTAGTTCATTACTTGTCTAAACTTGGAACCCTTCATGGAGTTTGATTTAATACTTATCTCAACTTAGAACCTTACTCGGAGTTTAGTTAACTACTTGTCTAAACTTGCAACCCTTTATGGAGTTTAGATAAATACTTGTCTAAACTAGGAACAGTTCATGCAGTTTAGTTTAATACTTATCTAAACATAGACCCTTACTCGGATTTTAGTTAAATACTTTTCTAAACTTGGAACCCTTTATAGAGTTTAGTTTAATAATTATCTAAACTTAGAACCTTACTCGGAGTTTAGTTGTCTACTTGTCTAAACTTGAAACCTTATACGGCGGTTCAATACTTGTCTAAACTTGGAACCCCTAATGGAGTTTAATTTAATACTTGTCTAAACTTGGAACCTTACAAAAAGTTTAGTTTAATACGTGTCTAAACTTGGAACCCTTAATGGAGTTTAGTTTAATACTTGTTTAAACTTGGAACCCTTAATGGAGTTTAGTTTAATACTTGTCTAAACTTGGAACCCTTAATGGAGTTTAGTTTAATACTAGTCTAAATTTGGAACCTATTATGAAGTTTAGTTTAATACTAGTCTAAATTTGGAACCCCTAATGGAGTTTAATTTAATACTCGTCTAAACTTGGACCCTTACAAAAAGTTTAGTTTAATACGTGTCTAAACTTGGAACCCTTAATGGAGTTTAATCTATTACTTGTCTAAACTTTCCATAGAGTTTAGTTGAAAACTTGTCTGAACCTGGAATCTATTATGAAGTTTAGTTTAATACTGGAACCACGGAGTTTACTAGTCTAAAGTTAACTTCAAAAATTATAAAATTTCTGAATATCTCGTAAATTCTTGACAATTGATGGAAAAATTTTGAAATATGAAGTGAAAGGAATCTGATTACTAGCCCCACACTCTAACTCAAACGAAACCTTTAACCTTGGAGGAACCTAATAGTGTAAACTCTTGATTATTACATCTTGTAGATTGTAAAGTTTTAAATAGCAAAGGTCTACAACAGCAGGCTGCAGTCTGCACACAGATACACTGATTAAAAAGAAATTTAGTAACTATGAATTCTGTTAGATCAAATAATATAAGTTTGAAATAGCAAAGATTTGAACCATCAAGATGCAAAGATATAGGGATTTGACAAATTTGAGTTTGTGACAAAGACTAAATTCCTTTAGACTGAGGTTAGAAATGCAGATAACGCAACATAGTTAATAAGTGGACAGAGTGAACAGAAAAGAAGAATATTGGGGGAAATGAGTATCTGCATATTAAAAACATGCGTCTATCAATTACTAGTCGGTTAAGAATTGTGATTTGTAAAAAAATCAAGAGAAAAAAAATGCATTTCAAAATATTTTGTACAGAGATCATAAGAATGGGAGAGAAGGAAGAAATAGAATCCTCCTGGACAGAGTTACAGGAGCTTGGAAGCTTGTCTTCACCTCATCAGAAGGTTGGAAAGTATCCAGAAACACCGGAGGCCGAATTTAAAGAATTTAAACCGCGTCGCTGAACCGCCAAAAACCGGATCCAATTGAGCGCCGGCTGAAATCTTGAACACTTACTACAATTTCAAGTGGAACCAACCATGTTTGAGCCGCGTCTCAAATTTGAAACGCGGCTTAAAATCTTTAAGTTCGGCCTGGGGATATGTTTGGTGAACTTAATTGTTCTTTGGTTTTATGTTGATAAGCTAGGTTCTTTATTGATGTGTGATGTTCTTTCTGCAATGTGATGTTTTTGGTGATATCTATTTTTGTCCCCATACCCAACTATCTGATACTATCTATCTGGTAAGCTATTAACCTATTAACTATCTATCTCATTATTTCTCTCTAGGATGACTCTGAGGTAAGGTTTGAGGATGAGAGTATGAGTAACCAGCTTGATCAGATCTGGGGTTTAGTGGAGAAAATAATCCCTCTCTCCAGTATTATCGCAGACCTAGAGATCAATCTCGGCAAGTAAAAGAATTCGATTAGGATTTTTCTGATTTCTACTTTTAAAGGGACCGTTCACTTATTTAGATATGTTTAGGGTAAACGAAATGCCTTATTTGCTATGAATTGGTATAGCCTTACTTTTCAAAGATTTAACTGTGGCTGAAGAAAAAGCCGATTTATCGGTTTTAGAATTATGGCACATAGGTGCGGCTCCTTTGTAAAGACACTGTTTCTACAAAAATATAAAATACAACAAATATTGTGTACATTAGTAATCCACAAAGGATGAGACTGTAAAGACGACTTGAAACTCTTAAAATATACAATCCCAAGTTTAAATTAATTATTCTGTCTTTAAATGTCTTGTTAGATGAATATAGTCTTTAAATGTCTTGTTAGATGATTTGACAAAGAAAGAAACAAGGTTTAAAGTTGCAAGGAATCATAAATATAAGCAAACAGAGAGTATAAATAACCAACTATCGTCTCTGAAGTCTCACCATAACCCTTTATAATCATCAAATAATTGTTGTTTCCCTCTGTAGCGTCCGTAGCGTAGAGCCACCTTTTCTAAATTTGATTGATATTAAGATCAGTTTGCATTGAATAAGTTATTTATTTTTTACATTTTGGACTTCTTAAAAAAGGGGAAAGGAATGTTAATGATGAATAATTGATATCAATATATATTGTATATTGTATGATTATTCAGCATATTGCCTGATTTTCATACGTTTACAACTTAATAGTAATAGTAATTTACCAAAAGCCAAGGTTATAATGCAAGGAAAGTTAATTGGGGTTGCGTGTACTCTGCGTACATATTGAAACCAGTTCTCTCAGGGCGTAAAAAAATAGATGCATCAGTATTCGTTTAGTATCCGAGGAGGTTAAATATATTAAATTTTGATAATTTTGATAATTCACATAATAGTTTTCTATGACCAGAATATGTCATTGATTTTTTATGTGAAAGATGGATCCCATGTCAGGCTTCGACACCCGTTTTGTGTTTACATTACCACCCAAGGTCAGTACACTGTAGTACAAAAGATGCGTACAACTCTGAAATAACTTCCCTTGCATAATAACCTTGCCAAAAACTAGGTTTAGCAATGAAGTAAACACACAAATATTACAGTAATACAATCAAACCTAGATATAAGGATTAGGGAAAAATAAAATGTTCTTCAACTTTGTGACCTCACAGGCCACAGCTTCTCTGATTTTACGCCCATTTGGGGAAAAAATCGTGGAAAACATGGAAGGATTTCAATTTACGCGTCATATTACTTTTAATACGATAATTCAAGCTTTTATTTTTAGAGACAGCGGTTGGTAGGATGGAAAAGATTGAAAACAAAATAAATATTTTACCGAAAAAGGCATCAAGGTAATTATTATACATATTTATTTATTAAGAATATTAAGAATAATTTTCAAAAAGTCAAATCTTGTGTGTTGTATATATCTAAAGATCAAGCATTCATCTCCATCTTAATTCAGAATTCGTAATTTCTCTTTGATATCCCGTGATTGTCCTACTCTGCAGAGATAACTGTTTAATTGAGGGATCCTCAAATTTATAAGTGCTCACATTGGATATCGAGATCAAATGTTCAAGACTAACAATATTCTTGACAAAAGTTCAGATCTGGGGTGACAAAATTTAGAATTACATGACATAAACAGCTTAAAAAACATACAGGTCATGTTAGATTAAAAAAGACATACATTCTGGTAATTTGAAAATTATAAAATATCCCACAATTTGGACTCTCCACGGTTGAGAAAAAAAACACACTTTAATTTTATGAAAAAGTAATTCAAAGTATTTTTGTAAAACTTGTTTTTAAAGCTTGGTAGATTGGTCGATGATTAAAAAACGTCTACAAATATAATCTGTGAACATGCATGAATCCTAAACACTGTGATCTAAAGAAAGGTATGGGGGGTGACAAACTTGACTTTATAAAAATTTTTGAAGTACTAAGTATATATTCTTGTCCTTGTGTGCTAGAGCTATTCCAGAAGATTTTGATGATCTGAGTATTCTTGAAGGATGGAGAGGAGAGGAACCTGAAGATTATACAAGGTTAGTATTCTTGAAGGATGGAGAGGAGAGGAACCTGAAGATTATACAAGGTTAGTATTCTTGAAGGATGGAGAGGAACCTGAAGATTATACAAGGTTAGTATTCTTGAAGGACGGAGAGGAGAGGAACCTGAAGATTATACAAGGTTAGTATTCTTGAAGAATGGAGAGGAACCTGAAGATTATACAAGGTTAGTATTCTTGAAGGATGGAGAGGAGAGGAACCTGAAGATTATACAAGGTTAGTATTCTTGAAGGATGGAGAGGAGAGGAACCTGAAGATTATACAAGGTCATTTATTTATTTTCTTGGACAAATTAATCATAAGATTAGTACATTAGTTTTTGATCGGATTTTTTTGACTATTTGGTGATTTTTTTAGATTGAATAATTGATTTATCTGGATTGAATGATTGACAAATTTTGAATTAATGATTGATGATAATTACATTACCGTAATAACAGTAAAAACACTTTGGGTTCCAAAAGCATAAAAAAACAAAAACACAAATCAATTCTTTTAATTATCAGACAAATTTTTATAACATCGCCAAAAAACATATTTTAATTTCTTAAAATTGAAGTATATTGTAATTGTTAGTCTGGTCATTTGAGTGTTTTCTTTCTCGGCAACATCTCAAACTGTTCTTAAAATGGAATTATTATATGCCAGGAAAGGAATTGAGCCTTTGTCACAAACTCAGATTTTCTAATCCCTATATCTTAAGAACCAAATGTTGTAAACCTTTGATATTTCAAACTTATATTATTTGATCTAACAGAAGTCTGAGTTTGAAATATCTAAGGTTTCCGACGTTGGAATCCAAAGATATACTGATTAGAAAATCATAGTTTGTGGCAAAGCCTTAATTCCTTTGTTTTGATATGATAAGTAGTGCACACACTGCTGTAGTACACAAATATCTATTTATACAACTGCCTTGTGTTATAATACGTACGTGAGGGATTTAAAGGCTTGAATTTTAACCGAAAACAAACTAAATAAAGTAAAAATAGAGGCAAAAATATAATTTCCCAAATTATACACAAGGCAGTTTCTTCTATAATTTCATCCCTTTTTAAACCAAAAAACCTCGAAAAAAAAACTCTAAAATCCGATAAATTTAGTAAAAAATCCGGAATTTAGAATTTAGAAGTGTAATTTGAAAATCTTCTGGAACATTGCTTCACAAAATGTTCCAGGAAAATTATGAGAAATAATATCCCAGAATATTTTCAATTTACAGGAAAATATGCGGGATATTAATTGTCTTTAAATGGAATAAAATCTGTTATGCTTGCTGAAGTTAACAAATTTTCCTGAATAATTATAAAAGTTTAAATTACTAATCACAGGAATCATATAGTTAAAGGGACTAGCTGTAATTTCAAAAGGATTTTACATGTCCGATTTACAACAGTACCTTTTAACCCTTTGTCTAGCATCTTTTCGGAGATATTATTTATTCCCATTTAAAGCTTCTATATGAAAGTGAATCCCTTGTGACTTTGCTGAAGGTTTGGAGGTCACTGTTCTGTTATACTTTACATGATAAAAATACGATGACAGTCCCTTTAATTAAATCATAATTTTAAATTACTTTGTTTTTAGTATTCTGGTTCCTATGTTTAATCACTCTGGAGGAGAACCCATGCAGGATAATCTTTACAGAAAGTAAACCTTTTTTCAATACAGTGGTAACCCCAAAACGTGGGAATTATTAACGTCTTCATTTTTATATTTTTACTTTCATGTTCATAAAATTAGGCACCATTGAATATCCTTTGCGACATTTTTTTAACAGTTTTCTGATCTTTTGAATTATAAACTTGTGCTGGAAATATGATAATGTTAAATTTAATTTTTTATCAAAGATGGTTTTCTATTTAGAAATCTCGTAAAATCAGTTTCTAATCGTATCCTCGCTCCAGTAGAAGAAATAAGGTATAATTCTTTAAACAGGAATGTTCTGATATTTTAGAAAGGAATTGAGTCTTTGCCACAAACAGAGATTTTCTCATCCCTGTATCTTAGCAACTTGATGGTGTAAACTTTTTATATTTAAAACTTATAAGATTATTTGATCTGAGCTGGGAACTTTTGAATGGTGGATATCGGGATTAGTGCTTAATACACTCTTTTTCTTAATCTCCAGATTAAATAATGCTTGTTTTCCTCTTGTTATTAATTCTAGATTAAATAACCGATCGGGATTAATGATATCCCATTCTAAAGTTTTCAGCTCTGACAAAATTTGAAAAATCTAATGTTTACAAAATTTGGTTGCAAAGATAAGTTCATACAAACCCTGATGTCAAAGATCTTTGATATTTTTAACTATTAAATCCGCCAGCAATAAATTAAAGTTGTAAAGGTACAGGGATTACAACATTAGAGCTTGTGGCGAGTAATCAGTTCCTTTAAACTGACACTTTTTTAGTTTTGTTATAGCTAGATTTTATATTTTAGTAGGATTAAACAATCCGATGAAACCGAACAGTTCTCTTGCTTTATTTCAGAAGGAATGGACAGACGAAACTCCGTCCTATTGAGAAATCAGTCAGCTGGAACACAGAGGACATTCACATACCAAGGTGGACATATTCTTCCTACAAAGTCATGCATTTTTTACAAAATGTAAAATTAACAAAACACAACCAATACCCTCTTTGATGGAGATATTGTCGTTTTTCTGTTAGAAAATGAACAGAATGTAGCAACTGTTTTCTTAGATTAAGTTACTAAGAAATTGAGACTTTGCAACAAAGTAAAATTTTATAATCTTTATTGCTGTGCAACCTGAGAAATTCAAAACCTTTGATATTTCAAACTTATATTTTTTGATATAACAGAATTTATAGTTAGAAATATCAGAAGTCTACGACATTGGGTTGCAATGAAATAGGGATTAGAAAAAACAGAGTTTTTGGCTCATTTTCGTTATGCACCAGATAAAAAAAGTCTTGTTCGGCGCCATGATTCCTCAGTATATTGGGAATCGTTTATGTTTTCTTTAAAGGGAGTGTTCGTGAAAAATGTTTCAATTTTAGAGGTTTGCGCTCTCCAGAACAAGGGATGGATAAACCGGATCCTTTCATAATTCAGGAAAAATGGATTAAACAAAACAATAGAATTATAAAATATAATAATTTATAATTCTAAACTCACATTTTAATTCTAAATTGACATTTTAATTATAAATTGACATTTTAATTCTATAATCAAATTTTAATTCTAAAAACACATTGTAATCCTAATTTTACAGAATGATACACGAATCTGTCCCTAAGTTTTATTCATTTCTTTTTTAGTTAAGCTTTATTGTTTAAATAAGAAATCGATCCATGAAGTTCAGTTAAAAAAAAAATTTAGATAGAAATCTAGAAAAAATAAGCTATAGCAAACGGGATTGTGAGGAATAAAATAAATCCTGTCTTCTCAATTTTAATTCTCAATCTTGAATTTTTAATCTTGAATTATTTATCCTTCCTTGATTTATTATATCCTATACTTCTCATCTCTTTAATTTTGAATCCTGTTTTATAATCCTGGATTTTTGATATAGGACTTTTAATCCTGTATGTCAAATCTGGTTGATTCTTTATCTCAATCTCTACTTTAAATCTTGCATTTTACACTATTTTTGACCGAGAATTGAAAAATAAAGTTGGGAATTAAAAGTTTGTGATCAAAAGAAATTTCAAAGATCAAAGATGGCGCATTATTTGAAATTCTGTCTAAACTGGTTCAATCCTGTTTATGTGTACAGAAATCTCGACAGCTGAATAAACGGGTCACGCTGAACGTTGGTGGTGAAAGGCACGAGGTAAATACTTTTACAGTAAGTCCCAATAATCACGAAAATCATAAAAAGGACTTATAATTTCCTGATAAAATGCTTCAAATTATAGCGGGAAAAATTTGAGTTATTCCAAACTTATTATACAGCTCTTTTTCGAGTGTGCAATACAATGACAAAATATATAACTGCATGTAACCCTTTAACCCTATCTCTTCTGGGCTATTTTTATCTAATATGATTTTGCCCTTAGAATTGAGATAGAGGAGTCTGTTACATTACATGGCCTTAGTCCAACATTTCAAGGCCTTCTTAGTCATTAACAAAAAAATAGACCTCTAACTTTATTGGTTAGGGTGTAAGGGAGGATTTCAAAAATGTACGTCGAAAAAATGTTCAAAAATAAATATTTTTACTTTTGACATATATTAACATATGACACGTCTAAATACATCTACTTTCCATGGTGGCTTTTCAAAATTATAAATTTCAGCCCTGTAGCATAATCCAAAAAAATTTACTATGCATTTCGATTTAAAACACCGCGACCTGTAGGTTGACTGTCCTCCAACCTACCTTAAGCATCAAAAAAAAAATATAACAAAATTTGTTCACACTGAAAAAGTAAAGAAATTAAAGTGTTCTAATGTAAGCCGTTTTTAAGTTATTTAGAAAAAAACACGGGGGAGTTGGACCCTCCCCCCCGCCGTCATAGGGTTAATGCATTTTTAATTATATCCCGTACAAATTGCTCTAGTTTGATCTGTTACCTCAAATCTTATAGTGTGACGTGTAATTGTTTATAACAAGAATATCAAAAAGTAAATGCCACGTCGAATTTCTTCGTTCCTAAATTCTTTGTGTGTATCAAGGTTTTGTGGTCCACACTTCAACAGATGCCTCAGACAAGATTGGGGAAATTATCCAGGAAATATTATCATATGATAACTTTAACCCTTTCATACCGAGGATTTCTATGACTTTAACCCTTTCATGCCGAAAATTTCTATGACTTTAACCCTTTTATGCCGAGGATTTCTATGACTTGAACCCTTTTATGCCGAGGATTTCTATGACTTGAACCCTTTCACGCCGAGGTTTCATATAGCTTTAACCCTTTTATGCCGAGGATTTCTATGACTTTAACCCGTTTATGCCAAGGATTTATATGATTTGAACCCTTTCACGCCGAGGTTTCATATAGCTTTTACTGTTTTATGACGAACAGTTAAAAAACTTTAACCCTTTTATGCCGAGGAGTTTTATGACTTAAACCCTTTAATTCTGATGATTCAAACAACTTTAACTCTTTATACCGAAAATTCATTATAACTTTCATGCCGAGAATTCAATTAACTTTAACCCTTTTATGCCGAGAATTCAAATAACTTTAACCCTTTTATGCTGAGAATTCAAATAACTTTAACCCTTTCATGCCGAGAATTCAATTAACTTTAACCCTTTTATGTTAAGAATTCAATTAACTTTAACCCTTTTATGCCGAGAATTCAAATAACTTTAATCCTTTTATGACAAGGATTCAAATAACTTTAACCCTTTTATGTCGAGAATTCAATTAACTTTAACCCTTTTATGTCGAGAATTCAATTAACTTTAACTCTTTTCTGCTGAGAATTCAAATAACTTTAACCATTTCATGCCGAGAATTCAATTAACTTTAACCCTTTTATGACGAGAATTCATATAACTAAAACCCTTTCAAGCCGAGGTTTCATAAAGTAGGCCACATAAAACTGTGAAATAAGATATTTAAGCAATCTTATGTTTATTTGATTTTGATGTGATGTAAGTAGTTTTACCAGAAGGTTCAAAGTCTACTTATAAAGACAATGGGTCACTCTACGTACAGTGTACACTGCTTAATTGCTGTGTTTCATTTTTATTTAACTATTTAAAATATCATAAATTAGGACTTTCAGTCGTCTTCCTCTTCACAGTGTTTACGGGTCTCACTAGTTATTGTTGGGGAAACTTTAATGATACTGAAACTCAAATAGAATAAAATATTTTTTTTAAAATTATTTCTAGACGATAATATGATAACATTTTTAGAGCAAGTTCACACGAAGAGATCTTAACGCTGGCAGATTTTTATTCTATTATTGACAACGAGTTTTTCTTTGATCGCCACCCTAGGGACAATCAATTAGATTATGTTGATAAAAACTTATTAAACTTTTTATAATCAGAATACAGCTATCATTTATGATGTATGCATTTTAATAATTGCAGTTAATGAAGCATATTTTTAAAAAAAAAGGCAGCTCAAACCAAGTCGCCCTGATTGATAAACTTATTAAAGTGATATGCAAGTAATGCAGACAATTGTTATTTTCGATGATTATTAACCATTGTTCCATTACTTCTGCTTTATTTTTAAAAGGCGATATAGATTTTGTAATTTGTAAAACGCAAAGGAAATTATAATAAAAAGTTTTCTGTTCATTTTTAAAAATAAGAGATAAACCTTTGGAAATTATCAACTCCATAACGTAGACGACATTTATAAAAATGCATGCACTTTGGTTTGCCTTTCAAAAAAATACAACAAATACAATTTTCTAATTTAATTGTGATTGTGTTAGATCGTTTAAAACAATTTTAAACTACTACAGAACGGGTCGTCTTCATATCATTGATGAAATGTGTGTCATGGCGTTCAGTAGTGATCTGGAGTATTGGGGAATTCAGGTAAACGTTATTCAAACTTTTCCACGTAAACAAATCCAGCACCGTTAAATGGGATGTAGATTTAAAAAAAAAATTATATCACATTACTATTTTAGAGGAATAGGTGCAACTTTTCGACATGTTATATCTTCTAGTTTTGTTGATTCGAATTTACAAAAGAAAACTTGGTTTGGTTGCATGTTAGGATAGTTATCGATAGATAGATATCGATAGTTTTTAGAAAAAAAGTTATGCTTAAACCATGTCATTTTTTAGTCTAAATTAAATTTTTATTCTATGTTTCAGTATCTTTGGTTGTAGAGCTGTTGTCAGACTAAATATATGATCAGTTTAGTTTAATATGATGTATGTATCAGGATCTATGGTTGGAGAGCTGTTGTCAGACTAAATATATCATCAGTTTAGTTTAATATGATGTATGTATGTATCAGGATATATGGTTGGAGATCTGTTATCAGACTAAATATATGATTAATTAGCTTAATATGATGTATGTATCAGGATATATGGTTGGAGAGCTGTTGTCAGACTTAATATATGATCAGTTTAGTTTAATATGATGTATGTATCAGGATCTATGGTTGGAGAGCTGTTGTCAGACTTAATATATGATCAGTTTAGTTTAATATATGATGTATGTATCAGGATCTATGGTTGGAGATCTGTTATCAGACTAAATATATGATTAATTAGCTTAATATGATGTATGTATCAGGATATATGGTTGGAGAGCTGTTGTCAGACCAAATATATGATCAGTTTAGTTTAATATGAAATATGTATCAGGATCTATGGTTGGAGATCTGTTATCAGACTAAATATATGATAAATTAGCTTAATATGATGTATGTATCAGGATCTATGGTTGGAGAGCTGTTGTCAGACTTAATATATGATCAGTTTAGTTTAATATGATGTATGTATCAGGATCTATGGTTGGAGAGCTGTTGTCAGACCAAATATATGATCAGGAAAGAATATGTGGAGGATGAAATCAGGAAGGAAGCAGAAAATACAAGAACAGTGGTAAATAGGACTAATCATTAAATATATATATGATATACAGGGTTACCAACTTGTCAGCAAAGGATAAGACTTCAGAGACGACTAAGGGAATTTAATCAATAATATTGCTTGTAAATAAATGTTTCATCTGTCAGCTTAATTCTTTTTGGTCATTTCCTTAAGTTTGTATTTTAAAAATTGTATTTAATGCCGAGGATCTATTTTTTTCTTCAGATTGTTATATATTTCAGGTTGTTATTAAAGTCTGATCCTTTGTGGATAACCCTGTATAATTTCGGGGGACCAGGACACTCATTAAAACGTTTCTTTACTTGCTTGTCATTTTCTTCAAAAATTGTAAAATAATAACAGCAACAAATATCGAGTTGTCCTTGTATAATTTTACTTTATCATTTGAATTTAGAAGATTTAGATTTATCAGCCTACAAAAATATTGAGCTCGATCGGTTTATACCTTTTTGAGTTCATTGGATTCAAACAAACCCTCAGAAAAATATCTTTCTTGCCTGCATAGGCATAAATAAGTGATGATGAAGATATTTTCGTCATTTTCGGTCTCAAAATTTAAAGGTTGTGGACACAGATTTTAGAAAAAAAATACTCGCGGATTTGTAAATTTAGAAAAATAGTTTCTACATGTATATCATACAATATACACTGAATATGACTGGCCTGTTCATAAATAAATTATAAAATTTGTTTTCAACGTAATTATTGAAAGACTATAAATCGATTATATATAAACCAACTACACTTAAATTACTTTTGCTAGAAAGCAAACTTAAATATATTTAAGATTAATTCACGAATTTATTATCAGCAGGTTTGGAATATTTAGGAAAGCTCACTTATAAAATAAAACCCATTTATTCATTTATTTAGTAAATTTAATTATAGTATAGTAGGGGGTTCGGGAATGAAGCGGGGGGGGGGGGAGCGCATAAACCGTCACCACCCCCACCCCCCTTTTTAAAAATAGTTTATCTAGGATATCATGGAGACCCAGACACTTGAATGAATACCCCTGTTTAGGCTGGAGATAGTTGGAGTAGGGGTAGATGTGGTAGATATCAACAGTTTATCTGGGATATCATGGAGAAACCAGATACTTGAATACTTATCTGACTCCTGTTTAGGCTGGAGATAGTTGGAGTAGGGGTAGATGTGGTAGATATCAACAGTTTATCTGGGATATCATGGAGAAACCAGATACTTCCATCGCAGCAAAGGAAACTCATGCATTTTATTAAACCATTTCTTTCCGTCGAGATTCAAAAGTATTTTCAATTAATTTTTTCTTGTGGATATTCATTAATGAGAAATTGATATCTAAACAATTATTCACAAATGCAAAATAAAATTGAAAATATTAAGCTTTTGATATTTTGTTTTGAGAATTAGTTTCTCTAGGTTGTATCAATGGTATCTGTAATATTTGTGGTTGTTTCTACAATTGCAATGGTGATCAACACACTACCAGACCTAGCTGGACCTCCAGATGAGAAGGTAGATTGTAAATCAATAAATCGACTAATCTATTAATCAATCAAGTAACTGAAACAATAAAACCCGACTGGCATACCAACAGTTCAGGGGACCCCGACTGATAGCCCAACTATATTCAGGGGACCCCGACTGAGAAACCAACTCTATGTAGGATAACCTGACTGATAACCCAACTCTATGCAGGGTAACCAGACTAATAACTAAACTTCTATTACGGGTAACCAGACAGATTACCTTATTATAGTCAGCGTAACTCGACTGATAATCCAACTCTATGCAGGGTAATACGACTGATATCCCAACTCGATTTAGGGTAACCAGACTAATATCCCAACTCTATGCAGGGTTACCCGACTAATAACCCAACTCTATTCAGGGTAACCCGACAAATAACCCAACTCTATTCAGGGTAATCCGACTAATAACCCAACTATAATCAGTGTAATCAGACTAATAACCCAACTCTATTCATGGTAATCCGACTAATAACCCAACTATACTTAGTGTAACCAGACTGGTAACCCAACTCTATTCAGGGTAACCCGACAAATAACCCAATTCTTTTCAGGGTAATTCGACTAATAACTCATCTATATTCAGGGTAACCCGACTGATAACCCAACTCTATGCAGGAAATCCCGACTGATAATCCAACCATATTCAGAGTAATCCGACCGATTACCCAACCAAATTCAGGGTAACCCGACTGATAACCCAATTCTATTCAGGGTAACCCGACTGATAACCCAACTCTATTCAGGGTAACCCGACTGATAACCCAATTCTATTCAGGGTAACCCGACTAATAACCCAACTATATTCAGGGTAACCAGATTAATAACCCAACTATATTCAGGGTAACCCGACTAATAACCCAACTATACTTAGTGTAACCAGACTGATAACCCAACTCTATTCAGGGTAACCCGACTGATAACCCAACTTTATCTATCATAGAGGCGATCTGTATCACATGGTTCACACTTGAATACATTCTCAGGTTTATTCTTTTCTCCTCTCTCTTCAAAGGAAGAAGCTTCTTCAGTTTTGTCCATTTTCTTTTGTTTCAAAATTTTCAGATTCTTTTTCTTCGTTTTATTATATTCTTTGCTGTTTTTTAATCATTTATACATTGTCATTATTTTCTTAATTTCATATTTTCAGTTTCTTTTCTTCGTTTTATTATATTCTTTGCTGTTTTTTAATCATTTATACATTGTCATTATTTTCTTAATTTCATATTTTCAGATTCTTTTTCTTCGTTTTATTATATTCTTCGCTCTTTTTTAATCATTTATACATTGTCATTATTTTCTTAATTTCATATTTTCAGATTCTTTTTCATTTTTTTATTCTTCTTTATATAATCTTTTATTTATTAAGATTTATGGGTGCTCCTGAGAAATGTGCATTTGTAAAAGATGGGATGAATATAGTTGATGTTCTAGCAATCCTTCCTTACTTTGTTACAGCTCTGATCATGGAGTCCAACATTATCCCGGTAGGATAAGTAGGATAATAAATTTTATTTGATATTAACCTTTCTCCACGGACCACAGACATTCTCACCCGTGTTCTCCTAGGTCAGGAAGCACCTGGTTTAGCACCTTGACTTCTTTGTTACAACTGTCCTGTAGCGTCGAATGCAATCAGCTTTCAGTAACACGTTCGGCGTCTTTTCAGAACCAATATAGATTGTACACACAGACATTCACTATCTGACAATCTATCTTACAAATAAAATCTACTTGTAATAAAACCAGGCTGAAAAAGACTAATTTGTGTTCGTGGTCTGTGTGAACCGGTTTTTATCAGATTCTCTTTACAGAAACATCAGATGAAAATAAAACAGATCCTACATTTTTGTTTTACTATTTAAACTTGTCCAGGAGGATAATGAAGATTTTGATGATGTGCGGAGAATAATTTCTGTTTTCCGTATTATGAGGATCATGAGAATATTCAAACTAGCGAGACATTCAACAGGACTCCAGGTATACAGGACTCCAGGTATACCGGACTCTAGGAATACAGGACTCACGGTATACAGGATTTTAGGTATTAAGGACTTCAGGTATACAGGACTACAGGTATACAGGACTCTAGGTATACAGGACTCCAGGTATACAGGACTCCAGGTATACATGACTCCAGGTGTATACAGGACTTCATATACAGGACTCCAGGAATACAAGGCTCCAGGTATACATGACTCCAGGTATACCGAACTTCAGGTATACAGGACTTCAGGTATACAGGACTCCAGGTGTATATAGGACTTCATATACAGGACTCCAGGAATACAAGACTCCAGGAATAAAGGACTCCAGGTATACAACACTCCAGGCAGACAGGACTCCAGGTATACAGGACTCCAGGTATACAGGACTTCAGTTATACAGGACTCCAGGTACACAAGACTCCAGATATACAGGACTACAGGTATACAGGACTCCAGGTGTATACAGGACTACAGGAGTACAGGACTCCAGCTATACAGATCTCCATGTGAAAAATGCCAACCTTTCAAGGATACCAATTGTGAAATATTTTAAACATCTAACATTTTATTTTAAAGAGGTAAATTTTAGATTTGTATCTCTAAATTTAACAAGTTCTGACCTATTTTAGATTTGTATCTCTAATATTTAACAAGTTATTACCTATTTTAGATTTGTATCTCTAATATTTAATAAGTTATGACCTATTTTAGATTTGTATCTCTAATATTTAACAAGTTATGACCTATTTTAAATTTTTATATTTCATAGTTTGGCCTTTTGACTATCCTGTACCCTTTTACAATGGATAACAAAACTTTCCCAAAAGGAATTAAGTAGGGTTTCCACCGCAATTCCGGGTTACGGTTTACGTACGGAAATGATCCGGAAATTTTTTCCATTTCCATTCTGGAAAAGGTTCCGGAAAACCGGAATTCCGGAACGATTTTTTTCCCGTAAAACGGAAATTTCCGGAACGTTGTTCCGGAATTACGGATCGTTACGAAAAATTTCCGGTTTCCATTTATACCGGAATTATCCCTGAATTCCGGTTTACGCAACAAATTTCCGGATCATTCCATTTCCAAAATGGAAATTTTTTTTCCGGAAAAATGGAAACCCTAGAATTAAGTCTTTGCCACAAACTTAGTCCCTATAGCTTTTCCACCCAATGTCGTAGATCATATTTCAAACTATGGGTTTTGATAGATCAACAAATATTAATTTGAAATACCAAAGGTTTACACTATAAGGTTCCAACTAAAAAGGAATAAAAAAATTGTTTGTGGCAAGACTCAATTAAAAATCTGCAGCTCAAGTATTAAAGAAGTTATAAACTATTTTTTAACTCCGACTGACCTTTTTTGCCATCCTCTACCCTCGTTGAAGAATTAAGCGCTCTAGTCGCTTTTAATTTATGTAGAATAGATTTAGAAGCAGTAAATAAAAAATATAAATATTTACTCTTCCCTTATTTCAGTCTATTGCATACACAGTTACACATAGTTACAAGGAACTCGCTCTGCTCGTTTTATTCATGGGGATGGGAGTTCTCATATTCTCTAGTCTTTGCTACTTTGCAGGTTATGTACTTCATCTTCATACATTAAAATTGTCCATAAAAGATTCCAATCATCTTTTATAAATTCAAAAATTTCCTTGTTAAATTCAAGTTCCCTATGAAGGAAAGATTTGAATTCCATCCCTTAGCAGATTAAACTTCTTTGTGGATGCAATTATTTTCTGGAAAGGTTCAATGCTGAAAATTCCTATTATTTTAATCCTCTGAGGTCGGAAATCGGAACTTATGTGTGGAGTATCGTTTATCTTGAAGGTTTGAGGCTTTGAGCTCGATATCCAATGTGGGTACTTGAGGACTAATGTTTGATTTCTCAATTAAGGTTATTCATGCTTAGTATGACCACAACTGAAGGTTGAAGAGGAATTAGATTAATTTCGAAGGTCTACATAGGATAAGATGGAGATCAATGCTTAATCCTAAGATTCAAAACTCAAAAGTTCCGGCTTCTGATTTCTTTATAACTCCCTTGGATTTATCAATATGTTCCCTTGAAATATTTGAAATTCTTGTACAGAGAAAGATGAACCGGATTCAAAATATACGTCTATCCCTGCAACCTTCTGGTGGGCCATCATAACCATGTGTACAGTCGGATACGGAGATATTTATCCAACCACTGCTTTAGGTTAGTATCTTCTCCCCCAGATTAATTTTCCCTCACGAGGATTATACTTTTCTATGTGATATTTATATTGTATAAATTCTAATCTTCGTGCAATAAATATTTGATTTGATTTGATTTGATATATACTGTAGGATACAGAGATATTTACCCAACCACAGCTATAGGTTAGTATCTTCTCCATATATACTGTAGGATACGGAGATATTTATCTAACCACAGCTTTAGGTTAGTATCTTCTCCGTATATACTTTAGGATACAGAGATATTTATCCACCCACAGCTTTAGGTTAGTATCTTCTCCATATATACCGTAGGATACGGAGATATTTATCTAACCACAGCTTTAGGTTAGTATCTTCTCTATATATACTGTAGGGTACGGAGATATTTATCCAACCAAAGGTTTAGGTTAGTATCTTCTCCATATATACTGTAGGATACAGAGATATTTATCCAACCACAGCTATAGGTTAGTATCTTCTCCATATGAACTGTAGGATACAGAGATATTTATACAACCACAGCCATAGGTTATTGTGTCTCCTCCTCTGTAGGATACGGAGATATTTATCCATATCCAACCACAGCAATAGTTTAGTATCTTCTCCATATGAACTGTAGGATACGGAGATACTAATCCAACTACAGCTCTAGGTTAGTATCTTTTCCATATATACTATAGTAAAAATTCGACTTCTCAAGTAGAAAGAAATGTGTGTTTTTGTAAAATAAATAGAATACAATTTTGTATTTTATAAAATGTTGTTGTAGGAAAGCTGATAGGTGTATTTACTGCCATATCTGGTGTACTAGTAATTGCTCTGCCTATACCCATCGTGGTCAACAACTTCGCCAAGTTCTACAACGAGACGAAAAAGAAGCAGGTTCAGCTGGCCAGGAAGGTGGAGAAGGAAAAGTGGAAGATCCAGGAGGAGCAGGAGAGGAGAAGGTTCCTTATCAGTATCGGAGAAATAAAAGAGTAAATCCGTCCGTCCTCATCTCAGATTTAATACATACGATACCAGAGTGATCGTTGTTTTCCATAATAATTACAAAAACGTATACCATCAAACATTAATGTCAAGGCCCAAAACTGTGCAAATGACGAGGTATACCAGGCAAAGTAAGATTATTTGCCTTAAACCCTCATATCTTTCTTATCTTAGATATTTCAAACTATGAATTCTTCTTGATATAATAACCAAAGATCAAAAAACTCATCGTAAAATTTCTAAATTTACATGTAAGCGTTTTACTTTTGTTAATTCCTTTGTTCAAAATCAGCGACTTTAAATATTTTTTTAGTGTCGTGTAACAAAGATAAATGAAATAAGACAAGACCATCCAAGTGGAACTTACAGAAAAATATTTGAATGATAATTAATAAATGTATCCCACTCTGTGATAATCCAGTTATTTAAATCCTGTAATTGTTTGAAACTTGACGGAAACTCCCGAGTTTCCTTTTTGGGATTCATCACATTTGCGTAGATTTTAATTTCAGAAGTCTGAAAACAAAACAAAAAATTTAAAGAAACTACATATTATAATAGTTTCGGCTCAGAGACGAATGTACAGAATTTTTACTTACTTTTTCCTTATATTCACGATTCAATATAATTATAATTTTTAAAAACAACCGTGTGTTAACAAAACTCAGCCCTACAACATATTCTATAACATGGTTTAAGTCTTAAATGTAGCTAGGAAAACAAGCATAAAAGATGCCCATCTCTAATTATATAACTTTTCCGACATTATTTTATCGTTTATTAAAGTTTCCTCAGAGATCAATATAAAATTGTAAATAATTAAAAATAAAAATATCATATTCTTTAATTTTTAACTTTATTTTATACCTTATTTATATATGCTAAATGCAGGAGGAGAAAATTCCAACCCGTGATATGGCTCAGACATGACACTAAGTGTCAGGTTTAGAACATAAGGGTTTGGAACTTTCATCTCTGAAATGATAACTCTAAAATGAAAAAAATATCATTTATTTTGTAGCTTAATGAACAAATTTAAATTTTTTAACATAAACAATCATATTAATAATGTTAATGATAAAGCTACAACTAAATTTTAGAATATTCCCCCTTATTTTAAATACTAGGGTTTTATGCGCTCCCTTTCCTGTAAATAATTTTAGCTATCAACTGTTGCACTGGAATTCGGCCTGTTTAAATCATTTTCAATTTTTTGAAGATTTTTCTTTTGAAATTGGCGCATTTTCAAAGAAATCTAACTTTTTTCAAAGAATTATTTACTCCAATTTTGATGTTCCAGAAACCTTTCCCTGGGTCAGGTGAGGTTCCACAAAAATGTGGGCCCCCGATCGTTTTAGCCGTTTTGACGTTTATCGGTTACAAACAAACACATTGAAAATGAAGGATTAATGAAATCGAAAGATTTAGTTTTGGAGAAGCAATGTATATACAGGGTGTCCCATATCACGAACAGTTTTAAATGTCTTCCCCCTATAACTACAGTTGTTTGAAACCAAAATAATATAAAAAATAAAGTATGGCACTCATATTATAGCTATATTGATTTCAAAATAAAATATTATTCAAGTAAGAGATTATTTTTGCGAAATAAATTGCAAAATGTATTTACTATCCAAAACAGTATATTTAAGAAGACATTTAAAACTATTCACGCCATGTATGTAAGATTATCTTACTGGAACATATCCTATTAAAATGCAGGTTTTAATATTTTATTTTGCAAACGTTAAGAATTTATTACAAACATAACCTTTTCAAAACATAAAAACTGTCTAGTTTTAAGAAAGATTTTAAGTTTGCACCCGGTTGTCTTGAAAAGCAGAGCCGAAAACAGGTCGACAATGAATGTCGTCTTCACAGTTGAACTTTTCTTTAAAATTCCAGATATCCTTTTAATGTGAATTCAAAGAGAGAGGCGATAAACACGCAAATGCCTTCCAATCTCTCAGAAACAAAAAAGTCTTAATGTATGTATTTAATTCTCTTATGTCTTGACCCCGTTTCCAAAGCAAAACTCAAACAAAACTTTAGAGACTTTATAGTTTTCTTTATCTTTCCATTAAACAAGGTATTGATGGTAAACATTGAAATTCTCAAGGAAAAAAGTAACTTAAGGAGAATAGAAAAAAGTCCTTGAACGGTATGACTATAATCTCCTCTTCTATAACTTTAATAAATAAATATTTTAAAAAACACTTTTACCCTTTAATTGGTACCCCTAACCCCCCTCAAAATGTAGACGTAATTAGTTCACCTGTTAAAAAAAGTATTTACTTTAACGAAATGCAAAGGTATTAGATACCAATTCTGAAAAATATATGTTCCCTATAGTGGATGAAGCTGTGTGTTGTGTGTAATCTCAAAAGGTTCCTTTTGTACCCTTGTGTTCCCTTATGTTCCCTTGTGCGGAGTTTAGGGACCAAATGTTTCATTTCAAGTCAAGATTTCAGTTCTTTTCTAGTCCTGGACAGCACAACTCATTTAAAACAAATAACTTAACCGATATTTGATATTTGAAAGTTTTAAATTTAAATTTTATATAGATTTGTGTCAAACATTTTTCAGAATTGATTCTACTGCACAAATTAACGAAAAGGAATTGAGTCTTTGTAACAAACTCTGATTTTCTAATACCTATACTTGTTTCACCTGATGGTGTACACCTATGATATTTCAAACTTAGATTTTTTCATCTAACAGAATTCATAGTTTGAAATATCTAAGGTCTACGGCATTGGATTACAAAGATATAGAGATTAGAAAATAACGGTTTGTGACAAAGACTCAATTCCTTTACAAGATAATCTTATTAATTGAAACTTCAAATAAAGAATCCCATAAATGATTCACAATCATTTTGGAAAAACAAAAACAAACAAAAACATTTTCTTGCTCGTCTAAGCTTTATAAATCCATGCATCGTTTTCAAGAAATCCACGTGCAGTGCTGTCGAAAAAACGTTTGAAGTTATAATCACTCAAATAACGGTGACAGTTCTTTTAATATTTTTTTCTGTTTTAAGGTTAAAATAATTATGATATTTTATCCTATTGGCTACTTGACTATCTGCATTCTAACCCTGAACCTTACTCCTATATCTGGAGGAATACAGGTAAAAGGCCAACCCTACTTCTGTGAGGACGTACTGTATTCCAAATCCACAGCAATGTTTAATTAAAAACAGTTAAGTGATGTGTTACAAAATTACTCTCTTATCTGTATGCAATAGCAGCGTAAAGTATAATTCCAACCTTATTCATATATCTGAAGGAATATAAGTTAAGGAATATGTCCAAGCTTACTTCTTTATCTAGAGGACTGTATTTGAAAAATAAATTCACCCTTACTCGTGTGCATTTGCAGGAGTTCAGAATAGAATAGGTACATCATACCTTTAAAATTTAATCATGTAATAAATAATTATTTCCTACAGGATTGGATTATTTGCCTCACACTCTAATAAGTCATTAATTTGATTATCAAATTTTTAAAAAATAAATGTTTGGGGCGCCGGCAATGTCACTGATGTTGTCAAATTTGAAAAACTGTCTGAAAATCTTGTAAAATTAACTGTTAAACAAAGAAATTTGTATGTTTACGGTTCAGGAGAGAAGACTGCTAAGTGAGAAGCTGGTTTCCTACAACCCCCTAGAGCGACCTGTTTTTAATGAGTCTCAATCACTCGATCTTCATCTAAACCTATCGTTAGTATCCCTATAAAAGTATTAACTGGTTTAGAATTTAATACATGCATTGAATATTTTACATTGTACGCTGTACACTGTACAGTGCACACTGTACACTGTACAGTGTACAGCTGCAACATAAAATTAATCTAAATAAGAAAAACCAGATTTCAACCAGTAATATCTGGTTAGAATCTGGTTCTACTATACACTATTGAGGATGCAACAGGTAGTTGATCTAATTAAGAAATCCCAGATTCTAACCAGTAATATCTGATTAGAATCTGGTTCTAAACTGTACACTATTCAGTCTGCAGCAGATAGTAGATTTAGATAAGAAAAACCAGATTTTAGCCAGTAATATCTGATTAGAATCTGGTTCTATACTGTACACTATTCAGGCTGGAGCAGATAGTAGATTTAGATGAGAAAAGCCAGATTTTAACCAGCAATATCCGGTTAGAATCTGGTTCTATACTGTACAATAATCAAGCTGCAGCGATCGTAGATTTAGATGAGAAAAACCAGATTTTAACCAGCAATATCAAATTAGAATCTGGTTCTATACTGTACAATATTCAGGCTGCAGCAGATAGTAGATCTAGATGAGAAAAACCAGATTTTAGCCAGTAATATCTGATTAGAATCTGGTTCTAAACTGTACAATATTCAGGCTGCAGCAGATAGTAGATTTAGATGAGAAAAGCCAGATTTTAACCAGCAATATCCGGTTAGAATCTGGTTCTATACTGTACACTATTCAGGCTGCAGCAGATAGTAGATTTAGATGAGAAAAGCCAGATTTTAACCAGCAATATCCGGTTAGAATCTGGTTCTATACGGTACAATATTCAGGCTGCAGCAGATAGTAGATCCAGATGAGAAAAACCAGATTTTAGCCAGTAATATCTGATTAGAATCTGGTTCTATACTATACAATATTCAAGCTGCAGAAGATAGTAGATCTAGATGAGATAAACCAGATTATAACCAGTAATATCTGATTAGAATCTGGTTGTAAGCTGTACACTATTCAGGCTGCAGCAGATAGTAGATCTAGATGAGAAAAACCAGATTCTAACCAGTAATATCTGGTTAAACATTGACTGGGAGGATTACTCCATGCTCTGGAACTCCACAGAATACAATGGAGTCGAAGACGTCAGGTATACTTAGCACTCCAGGGAAGAATAGGTCAGGTATACGGATCACTGGAGCATAAGAGGTCAGGTATACCGAGTACATCAGAGTAGAAAAGGTCAGGTATACGGATTACACTGGAGCATAAGAGGTCAGGTATACCGAGTACATCAGGGTAGAAGAGGTCAGGCATAAGGAGTACACTGGAGCATAATAGGTCAGGTATATGAATTCATGGAGTATGCCTGCATAGAAGAGGTCAGGTTTAATCACTGGCGGTTTAAAATTACAAGAACGAAACCCTCCAATGAAATTTTAAACCCCAGGAAGGATATCTGAATCCATCCAGTGGAATTTAAACCCCAGGAAGGATATCTGAATCCATCCAGTGGAATTTAAACCCCAGGAAGGATATCTGAATCCATCCAGTGGAATTTAAACCCCAGGAAGGATATCTGAATCCATCCAGTGGAATTTAAACCCCAGGAAGGATATCTGAATCCATCCAGTGGAATTTTAAACCCCAGGAAGGACATCTGAATCCCTCCAGTAAAGTTTTAACTTGTAATTAACTATTTTCCACACCCGTCCAGTGAAATTGAAATCTCTCTGGTGGTTTCCACTTCGAGTGGAGTCGAAATCTTACTACAAACTTCTTAAAAAGCTGTAAAAACGTCAAATGATATCAAATCAATTTAAAAAATGTTCTTTTATAATACTTCAGATAAAAGATAAAAGAGTCCCTATGGGAAAATTTTATTGGAATATCATTTAGTTTCAGTGACAAACTTTTAGTTTAGTTATCCCGCGTCAAAGGATTTAATCATCAATTCTCCGATTAACTTTCTTGTTTTAAACAGGATTGACCCGTCTCTGCTGTGGAAACCTGACTTGTTCCTGTATAACAGCGCTAGTGAGTCCTTTGATGCCACATTTCCGGTCAACATGGTTGTTTCAAGCAACGGCAGGATATCCCAGATACCTCCTGGAATATTCAAATCAACTTGTCTTGTAAGTTTTTTCCTGGTGATTCACGCCTCTTTTTCAAGTATTACTCTTTTTTTCAGACGACCTCAAACTTTTTTATATGGTAATCCCAAGGTCAATTTATAATAACGGCTTTTTAAAAGTTTTTTTTCACAGAAAGAGACAATTTTACAGTTGCTGGGAATCATAAATGTAAGAAAACAGACTGTATAGAATCCGTACAGTCGTATCTGAAGACTCATTCTTTTGTGGTAACCCTGTATATATATGATGATTAAATTTAGTTTTTTTTTTATTTCTATATATCCTCCATTCAATCTCAGGATAAGAAAAATGCTTTTTTTGTTCAAAACTATTCGGTTACGGCTTTGCGACCTTGCAACTTTAACACACGAAAGTACACGAAAGCAAACTTGTTTGATTTCAGATCAGAAAATGTCTTCTTAATCTGATTGAAAACATGCAAATAAAACATTTTAATGCTGCTAATCTTAGGTTGACATAACCTGGTTCCCATTTGACGAGCAAAACTGTTTTCTCCGGTTTGGAACCTGGACTCATATGAGGTGAGAAGTCGGGTTCTTAATTCTTAATTTGTATGTAATTTATTTTTCGTAATATTCTTTATTTTATTTCTATATATACAGCCTATACCCCCTTGCATTTTTGATAATACTCTCTTAAAGCTTCCAGTTTGAGCCCCTTTTAGAAATAATTAAACAAGAAAAAGTTGAGAGTTAAAAATCATTTAGATATTTAGAAATTCAATAATAATTTGTTTGTTGAAAACCTAGAGATCGGATAAACCTTGTTTTGAGCAGCGGAGATGAAAAAGGACATGCTGATCTCTCACAGTTTAAGGTATTTATCGTAAAGTACTCCACTTTTGTATTCCTTTTTGTGTTCCAAAGGTACTCTTTACACTCTTAGTAACAGAAAAGGAAATGCAAATGCCACTCTGAAATAATGTCTTCAATCCTACAAATTGTAAAAAAGAAATTGATAATCGACAAAAAACTATCCAAATTATTCCTGCTTGTTGAATAATCCCATTTTACATTGGTTTAGGAGAACGGAGAATGGTTCCTGGTTGGAGTTCCTGCTGTTAGAACAGTTCTCAAGTATCCGTGCTGTGTCGGAGAATATACAGGGAACACAGCAATCTTAAATTTTAATACAGACCTCAACCTAGGACTTAAAAATGAGCTGGATTGATATTCTTAACTTTAGCTAAATGTTTTTAATTTTTAGGAAATTGTTTATTTTTTGATATTAAAACTTACCAGCTAGGACAAGCTTCAGGATCTCTCATTTCTTCAATTTTAGAAGTTTGACCATGGGAAAGAAGAGCTGGAGCTGAACTTAAACTCATAAAACTTGAAACAAAGGAAGATTAACTCATTCCATACAAAAAAAAATCAAAAACTTAGATAATTTAGCCGTCACAGGGCCAAAAAAATAATTTTTTAATAAAATGTGCAGAGACACCTGGTGGACAACATTTTGCCAATAGAAGTCGAGAAAAAGCCGACTTCAAAGTTGAGAAAAATTACTTTTAAATTAAATCTTGGCAATAAAACTAGTCATGAACAAATGGAACTAAAGTCTGTGACTAGTTCAAAACTGGGATGAAATAGTCGACTTTTTCACGACTTTTTAATCGAAGTTTGTGGACTAGTTATCAAAAGTCGACTTTTATCCGACTTCAAAATGACTTTTTTAAACTAGTTTTAAACTAAAGTATTTCATCTATTTCTTTTTGCTAGGTTATGTTGGTCTAAAAATTATAAATCCCAGTTTTATATGCTTTGCAGAGAGAAACCAATAACATAGCATACCATTATTTATAAGAAGGGAATTTAAAGGTGACCCTCCATTCAAAGATGGCAATGCACGATTCTCAAAGGTACCCTTGAAACCTTTATCTGGACAATAACGTAGAAGATTTTGTTAAAATTGTTTAATTCTGATCATTACTTTGTGATTTCCTGCTGTAGAAATGCTGAAGACACTTTAATAGAGAAACCACAACTGAAAATAACTATAAACACTGCATGATTTCTAATTCTTAAATGAACAGACAAAGTATTTTAGGTTACCGTTGTGAATCGGGCATTGTCAACGTTGTATGTAGTTACTTTAAATTACACTCACGGTCCCTTTATAATCAGATATTTTTGTGTTTAGAAGTTTATTTTCACATCATCATTCGTCGGAGAACTATTTATTATTTTCATAATCTTATATTCCCATGCATTCTTATTGCAAGGTTAGTATTTCTTTACAACAAATTTTATCATTTTAGATTTCATTTCAATTATTCGTTAAATTCTCACAACTTCTACATTTACTAAAAATCATAGAAATGAAAAAAATTCTTTCTGGAAAAGCTTTAAGCATATTTTCCTTTTTATTTGCAATTTATATGCAATTTATATATATGTACTAAATGTAATCTTTTTTCAATTATTAGCTGTACTACAGTGAGAACCAGAAAACTCTGTATAATAGAAAGATAACTGCATTAAAACAAGACTTGAGTGTATTTGATGTTGTTACAAAGCAATTAATTTTAATTAAAGATTTATTAAACCACTTATTCCGTGAAATGAATCTGAGTACACTGAAAAATTGCCGTATCTAATGTTTATTTGACTATTTAAAGTCGTGTTCCTGTTCCGGAACTTTCTGGTAATCACTGCATAATGTAAAAGACTGTTATTCATAGCATGGCTGTATTCGGGTTTACTACCCCTCCTCCCTGTGGGGAGAAGCTGACTCTTGGTATTACAATCCTTATGTCTCTAACCTTCTATATGAATATGGTCTCGGAGATGCAACCACCCTCTAGTGAAACTCCAATCCTTGGTATGAATACAGAAACAAACTTTATTTCTATTTAAATTTTTGATTTTATCAATTTTGAATTTTTTAATTGAATGTAAAACTTGGAAAAGAAACGTTGTATGTAAAAAAAGGGTATAAATTGGTGAATGAACTCTTGGAAACATATTTAGTGTTTCAGAAGATATATTCCATGGTATGTTCTCAAAGCCTTGAAAAATAATTCTATAAAGACAGGTTTTTGTCCCATTTCAAACACTGAGTGTTAGAAATGGGCAAAAATCGAATTACTGGGGTTTTTAGATACCTTCCAATATGATATTGAGAGCAAAAGTCAATAATAATAACTGTAAGCAACGTTATGTTAAACATGACAAGGATAACAATTGCCATTATTAATTATTTCCATGCTAAACATTTTAATAGTTTTTCTATTTTTGTTGTGGGTTGGGATCAAAACTCATTTTCAGAACAATTCCCGTTTTAGTATTATATTCAATTCAAAACAGAACTCACGAACCATGTAATATAAACAAAAATTACCAGCTGAGTAGTAATTAATTGCTGAATTATTTCAAGAATCTAGGTTTCGATGTTTTGGAACTAATGTACCCTGAGCTAGGAACTTTAGAATGGATAATCCCAACTACTAAATCCAAAAATCCACTGTGGAAACTTAAATTTTAATCCTTAATCCACTCTTTTTCCCTCTCTTTGGATATCCGTACATTGTTTTGTCCAATGAGAATGCAGGAATATTGTTCGTAAATTGTATTGACCAATAACAGCCTTGAAAATAAATTCTATCCTATGAGAGACATCCGCAATTTCTAACAAATAAAGAATATGTTGTCGGCCGGCCATTTTTAAAATTAATCGGCGACGAAAAATACTTGTTGTTTAATCAATTTTAACTAATGTGTTAATAAATAAATGGGTGAGAAATTAAGTGAAGGCCCTTCTAGCTAGTCAAGAAAACGAACAAATCTGGCGTTCCAAGAATCAAATTGTTGATCTAAATATTTAATCTCGAGACTAACATAATCTCGAGATTAGCAAAAAGAGAGGATTAATCATTAATCTCGATATCCACCATTCTTAAGTTACTAGCTCTGGAAACATGAAATACAACTCAAAATATATTTACCAAAAATGTAAACAATTTCAATTTGAAAATTAAAGAGGGGGGGGGGGATAAGGATTACAATTATATATGTATTTATCTATACAACAAAACATTACAAAAGAAGAAAGACTTCAAACAATTCTTTATTTATTAATTGACATAAACGATTCAGGCGTCAGGACAGTCTAAATCTTTAGTATAAAAGTTCACTCGGTTGACCGAAAGCATATTCTAAAGGAACCACGTGGATTTAACGGTTCTGTCAATATTCCAGAGAACTGTGACTTTCGATTACTATTTGACCCATTAAACCTAATTTTTAGTCTTTTTTCTTAAATACTTTTTTCGGCATATGCATTTGAGTGAAAAAGTATAGAATAAATAAATCCGTAAATTAAAAGATTGTTGAATTATAGACCAAAACACGCTTGATAAAAAATAGAAGAAACCGAATGCTGTTCACTCTGGTTAGTCCGGGGTGACACAGCATAAACACTGAATAGGAGTAAACCTTTAATCTTTGACTAGCTCTTCCATATAGAAAAACTTATAGTTTATGAGATAAAAGGTCTACGGCATCATGCTGCAAAGATAAAATTGGATTAGAAAATTAGAGTTTGTGGGGAATTATCAGATTAATATAAATTAATTATCATAATGACATGGTTTGTTTTGTAGGTGTTTACTTCTCCTGTATAATGGCTACTGTAGCTAGTAGCGTAGTTAGCACGATAGCTATTCTCAACTTTCATGATAGGTAATTATGCATGAAATGGGCAATAACCTGATAGCGATTTTTTACTTCCATTATAGATATTTATGCATGGAAAAGCGATTTATAGCGATTCTGAACTTAACATGTAATTTTGCAGAAAATAGATAATGCCTTGACAGCTATTTTTAATTTCCTTGATAGGCGATTAGTTATTAATTATTATGTGGGCAATTTAAAGTTTTGATATTTTGAACTTCCATGCAGAAAATATTTGAAAGCTATTGTAATAGCTTAAAATATATAACTCTCACATTTTTTAATTTAAAGAGCTTTTAAAATCCGCTCCCTATGTTTTCAGGGACCAAGATAACTACGAGATGTCTAAATGGATCAGGAATATCAGATTTAATAAAATATTTGATAACATCATGATATTTTGCTGTTTAAAATTTAATTTATCAACATTTTTAAGATGTCAACAAAACCTTTTTATAAAATCTAAAAACTCTCTTAGGCTTGTTTTCATTAAGGTAAACTTAATATTTATTATCACATTATTGAATTATTAACAATAAGTCGTAAACTTTCATCTCATTAAATAAATATTTACAGAGTTACCCACTAAGCATGAGACTTCAAAGCCGATTATGCATAGTTCATGAAGCCGATTTTTTTTTTGGCAAAAATGGTTCCTGTTTTTTTTGCTTTCTTTGTCAACATATTAAGGACACATATAGAAAATTTAAGACCATAGACCAAGCCCCGTGTATGTACCCCCTGTATGTACACCTGTATGTACACCTGTATGTACCCTATATTAAGTGGTTACCCTGGTGCCTCCGAATGGAGAGACCAGGAACAAAGCATCTGCCCTTGAAAGCAATGACGCTAAAGAGTAAACTGAAAAAACTGGAAAAAGCAGACAGGTATTAATAAAGTAATATACACGTGAAAATATTAAATACCAAAACCAATAATATTAAACTTCTTGCATTGTTCAATGTTTTCCAAAGTCCGTACCTGCTTTTTGCGAACACTCCCTTAAAAAGTTTTGATGTGTATATCTATAGGTGTCCTATGAGATTATTGAATAGGTTTGATGTGCATATCTATAGATGTCCTATGAGATTATTGAATAGGTTTGATGAGTATATCTATAGGTGTCCAATGAGATTTCTGAATAGGTTTGATGTCTATATCTACAGGTGTCCTATGAGTTTAGTTACTTCAGTACTGGATAGGAAGGAGGAGTTTATTGAATAGATTTGATGTGTATATCTATAGGTGTCCTATGAGTTTAGTTCCTACAGTACTGGATAGGAAGGGGGAGTTTATTGAATAGTTTTGATGTGTATATCTATAGGTGTCCTATGAGTTTAGTACCTACAGTCCTGGATAGGAATGAGGAGTTTATTGAATAGATTTGATGTGTATATCTATAGGTGTCCTATGAGTTTAGTTCCTACAGTTCTGGATAGGAAGGAGGAGTTTATTGAATAGTTTTGATGTGTATATCTATAGGTGTCCTATGAGTTTAGTACCTACAGTCCTGGATAGGAATGAGGAGTTTATTGAATAGTTTTGATGTGTATATCTATAGGTGTCCTATGAGTTTAGTTCCTACAGTCCTGGATAGGAAGGAGGAGTTTATTGCCGGTGCTCTTGCCAACTCTAACCTTCCTCTTCAGGTTTTGATAAATAAACCCCCTTTTCCATCATTACATATTCTTTTTAATATCTGAATAAACCCTTTTTACAAAGAAAAATGAGAAGTCACGGAGGAATTGTTAGAGTTAATCACTTTTTTTGCTGAGAAGTCATGGAGGAATCGTTAGAGTTTATCACTTTTAAAGCTAGAAAAACGACTATATCTTCCACATCATTGACCAGAAATAGGTTCAAATGGTACTGTTGCAAATCTGGTTTGCCCCTGTTCAAATATTCAAATATTCATATATTCAAAAATTCAAATATTTAAATATTCAAAAATTCAAATATTCAAATATTCAAATATTTAAATATTCAAATATTTAAATCAAATATTCAAATATTCAAATATTCAAATATTCAAATATTCAAATATTCAAATATTCAAATATTCAAATATTCAATTATCAAATATTCAAATATTCAAATATTTAAATATTCAAATATTCAAATAGACGATCAATTGAAATAGCAAGGAAGCCACTTCTCTTTAATATCAAAAACCCAAAACATTTGACTTACAAAATATTTCATTTGTAGAATGAAAGAATTAACTGTATAACCTCAATTTATGGTTCTTTAGGTAATATATATTTTATTTAATGATTGCAAGGATTCATAATTGAACAATCATGCTTTTCTTTACATCTCTGTTAAACAGTGTAGTGCAGACTGTACACAGATTGTTAAAGGTCATATTAAATCTTTTTCTTTTATTCACTTTTTTTTTGAAGTTTTTTAAAATGTTATTTAAAATGTTCCTCCATAAACTACTTCAATAATTTTTCAAATTATGTCCTTTCCAGAAATTAACTCGTGAAATTCTACATCAACGACGACAAAGAAAATGTCAAAGTTAAGGAATATCTTTATTCTTACATCGATTTGTTTAAATGTGACCCTTTAATTAAATTATAATTTAAAATTTCGTTTACAATCCCTTTAAATAGATGATACACTGGACAGCAGTACACTTAGCCTACCAACTTCAACTTCAACAGCATCAGCAAACAACAAACAGGTGAATTAATACATCTTACGGATTCTTCTTAACAACGTTAAATTCATGATTCAATAATCGCAAATATTATGCAGAACGAATTGCTTCTTCCTTTTTCTTGTAATTTGGATTACAAGAACACTAAATCAATCAAAACAAGTTATTTTTTATCCCTTTGAGGAATTAATCTATTCTACAAATCTAATATTATTTAAATCATCTCTTTTTTTAAATTGGATTTTTCTCTATGAAAGTTTTTAATCTTCTTTTTATAATCATTTTCATTGTTCTTTTACCGTTTATATTCTAGGTTCCTCCAAAACAGTCGGAGACAATAAAGGATTTAGAGGTCAGAGTAAATTATCTTTTTTTTCAGAAAATGTTCAACGTTTATTGAAAGATAAATTTTCTTAACTTTTACCTGTTTAACCTGAGTTGGGAACTCATTATCCTGATACCTTGATCTTGATATTCACTTTGGGGACTTTAATTTGATGATCAATGCTTTCTCTTTTTTTAAGAAAGTGAATAAAGAAAGACAATCTAGAGTTTATTTTGAATCATATTATTGTATTACTTTAGAAAATACTAGTTGAAGTACAAAGTATAACAATGAAGATAAAGGAAGAGGAAGAAAGTAAACTCACAACCACTGACTGGAAATACGCAGCTATGGTAGGTTTTAATCTCATCTAGATATATGAAGATATTTGAAAAGTTCATAACAATACTCCAGGTACTTGATATTAGGTTAGTACCTTTAGGCTTAGTAGATCAAGATACTAGATAGAATTTACGACTATTATTACTCCATGTTTATCTAGGTACTAGATAGAGTTTAGGACTATTATTACTCCATGTTTATCTAGGTACTAGATAGAATTTAGGACTATTACTACTCCATGTTTATCTAGGTACTAGATAGAATTTACGACTATTATTATTCCATGTTTATCTAGGTACTAGATAGAATTTACGACTATTATTATTCCATGTTTATCTAGGTACTAGATAGAATTTAGGACTATTATTTCTCCAGGTATATAGATAGAGTAGATAGAGTTTAGAACCATTACTACTCCAGGTATATAAAGGTACTAGATAGTGCTTAGGACTATTATTACTCAAGGTATTTCTAGGTACGGGATAGAGCTTAGGACTATTATTCCTCAAGGAATATATATGTAGTAGGTAGTAGGTACTGTATAGAGTTTAGGACTATTATTACTCCAGGTATATAAAGGCACTGCAGATAGAGTTTAGGACTATTATTACTCCATACATATATAGCACTTGGTATAGGGTTAAGGACTATTACTACTCCAGGTATATAAAGGCACTGGATAAAGTTTAGGACTATTACTACTCCAGGTATATCTATAGCACTTGGTATAGGGTTTAGGACTATTATTATGTATCTAGGTACTGGATAGAGTCTGCTTGGTTGTGTTCACATCCACCACTCTTCTCTTGTCTCTAGCTGTGGTTGTGGCTGTTCCTAGAGTTTTTGTTTTCTGAAGAAAAAACTTTTATCTTTTTTATAATTGGTTTTAACAACAGATACAAAATCAAATTCAAAATGATAATTATATATCCAGAACAAATTTAAAATTAAGATTAATGAGAACAATATAGTAATAATAAACATATAAGTTTTTTAACCAAGGAAATCATGTAAATTAGTTTTGCAATAGTTTATGTTGATCTCAGTTTTGCAGAACTGAAAAATAAATCTATTGAAAAGACGACATTTAATGACTACCTTTACTTTACTCTTCTTCCAACCGTAATTTTTTCCATTATTTACAGAGTATCCCACATTATATTGGATTATATAGAGCTTTAAATTGCAATTTTCGGGGCTAATCAGAAAATTGTTAAAGAATGAATCATTTAAAAAAAAAATTGTATAGGCATAATATAAAAAGTTTGCATACAGAAAATACTAAGTTTTTCGAGTAATATTTGCGTAATTTTGCGTTAAATCTTGGAGATACTCTAATTTGATATGGGACGCTCTGTATATTAAATGTCTCATTTGAGTTCGTTCCAATTAATTCCTCTTTCATTCTTTTTCAAAAGTATACAATTTTTCTTTAAAATCCTTTAACTACTTTCATGTAAATAAATTCACAGTAAACTAGACAGAAGGTACGACTTTGTGACCTCGTTGAGTCTCTAGTTTCAAGTTTAAGCGGTATATGCCTATAAGCATGAGAAAATCAAATTTATCTGGTTATCAGAAATTTACAACGGTTTTGTTCTAACCTCAATATATATTCTCTTCAATTAGAGAAGTTATGATTGCTAATTCTAAAATATATCAAATTTATCTGGTTATCAGAAATCTACAACGGTTTTGTTCTAACCTCAATATATATTCTCTTCAATTAGAGAAGTTATGATTGCTAATTCTAAAATATATCAAATTTATCTGGTTATCAGAAATCTACAACGGTTTTGTTCTAACCTCAATATATATTCTCTTCAATTAGAGAAATTATGATTGCTAATTCTAAAAATATATAAAATTTCAATTTATTTAGCTTTACCTGGTAATTACGTATTGTTCCTTCTTGATTATGTTGCTGAAAGGAGAATATGCTCGGATAGGACAAATACTCACTTTTGGCAGCCTTCGGACCTGTTTCTATATAAAGGAGGGGAGGGGGAGGGGTATTGACAGGTTCTATATTCAGATATATGCTATACGTTATATAATATACAGGGTGTCCCGATAAACATGCCTTTCGAATGACGAATTCGAGATATTCTTTTGAAATTAGGTATTCAAATGCTAATCATGAACAAAAGTAATGTAAAATTCGTGACTTAATTCCTACATTTTTTGGGACACCCTGTATGTGTTTATATATAAATATATATATATAGATTGCAGAATCAAAAAATACATTTCATTTAGTCTTTTTACTTACATCACAGTTCGATGCAATTATTTCTTTGTCAAATAAAAAATCTAAATTTCTTAGGACAGAAGATTAAATTTAGTTCTAAAAAGTTTTTTTTATATCGAACATCATCAAATGATTCAGGTCGTCAAGTCTCATCTTTTGTGGGTAACTCTCTAAAAAATGGCCGAAAAAAACAGCAAAATATCTTGCCCATTTAGGAAATTTATTCTTAAAAACTAAAATTTCAGATTTGAGCTAGTTTTATCTTTATTGCTTCCTAAAAATGTCTCGCAAATCTTGGATTTTTTTCATGTGCACCCTAGGGGAGGGTGGGGTATTCACTATTGTCACAAAACATAGTTCATGTCAGCATACATTCTTTAAGAACCTTCAGAATGTAAACAGATTCTACTCATCAGGGATAATTAGGAACCAGAGTAAAGAAAGGGTGGGGATGCATGATGGGAATAATTAGTGTTGAAAACTCTAGTAAAGGATTGGAGCAGGTGGATTATACTCACAAGAGAGGAAATGTTTTTTCTTTAAATATATCTCATATACGCGGGACCTTTATCATTTTATTTTGATTTCCAACTTATTCTTGACAAAATTATGATAAAATGGTTTACACTTATCATTTAAATTTTTTAACAAATTTGTAATTACTTTAAAAGGAAGACGGATTTGATTAGTTTTATTTATTGCAGTCAAAATTTACAATTGAAATATAGTTTTACTCAGACTCGAATGAAAAATGTTCAATTTATACTGTTTCTGAAAAACAAAGTTTATTGGCTTTAAATAATGACCAAGAATTTCTTAAAGTTTCGAAGTCAAACTATTTTGGAAATTTTGTTGGTTCAAATAAAAAAAAAAGATTCCTCTGTTTAGCAATACAGGGGGTTGGTAGTTATTGTTTCAACTTGTAACTTTAAAGTTGAACATCGTTTTGTGTATTATGTTTTTTTACGATAGGCTCCCCAAAAAATCTGAGATAAAAGTGTATTTCAAACTTGAATATTTTTTCTCTGATAAATTACAAGGCCAAAACCAAAAATGAAAAAAATTGTTGAACCCATTTTATAAATCAGTTTAAAAATTTTTTTTGCCAAAATCTTCTGTCAGAAGAATTAAACATTTTGCACATGGAAAGTATAAATTAAAAGTGTTGAAACCATCAAAGTAAAACTATCTCTTCCTGTAACAAGGGAAATGTTTAACTGTACTTTGGTAAGAGTATTAGTGTGCTTGGACTGTGGGTAAAATATTTCTGGTTTTTGCTGGAAAAATACCTTTGCCAAATACTCACTTTGGCATCTGTGGTCCTCTTACCCTTTGCTCTTCTCTCAATACTTTTCTGTTCTTACATTTTCCTCTCTTTTTCATCACTCTTTCATACTCTTACATTTTCCTTTACTTTTCCTCACTCTTTTATAATCTTACATTTTCCTATACTTTTCCTCACTCTTCCATACTCTTACATTTTCCTATACCTTTCCTCACTCTTTCATAATCTTACATTTTCCTATACTTTTTCTCACTCTTTCATACTCTTTCATTTTTCTATACTTTTCATCACTCTTTCATACTCTTTCATTTTCCTATACTTTTCCTCACTCTTTCATACTCTTACATTTTCCTATACTTTTCCTCACTCTTTCATACTCTTTCATTTTTCTATACTTTTCCTCACTCTTTCATACTCTTTCATTTTTCTATACTTTTCCTCACTCTTTCATACTCTTTCATACTCTTTCATTTTTCTATACTTTTCCTCACTCTTTACTCTTTCATTTTTCTATACTTTTCCTCACTCTTCCATACTCTTACATTTTCCTATACTTTTCATCACTCTTTCATACTCTTACATTTTCTTTACTTTTCCTCACTCTTTTATACTCATACATTTTCCTATACTTTTCATCACTCTTTCATACTCTTTCATTTTATTATACTTTTCCTCAGCCTTTTATACTCTTACATTTTCCTATACTTTTCCTCACCCTTTTCATACACATTCCTTTTTCTATACTTTTCCTAACCTTTTCCTACTTTATCACTTTTCTATATTTTAACATTACATTCACGCTTTATTTTTTTTTAATCAAGATAATATGTTTATTTTCCTTTCCTACTTAATTCATGTTTCCAAATTTTTCATTAAGTTTCGTTAATTTTCAATAATTAAAAAAACAAACATCGAAACGTATTTCCTACTTTGAATTCGGATTTTTTAGGGGAGTGAAACTCTGGAGTGCTTGGCAGCTGTTATATTATGGTTTGTTGGCGCATAAACATTATACTTAGCCAACGGCAAGACAAGGACACATCTATACATGTAGGGCTTATAATATACATTGTATACAATATTGTATATTATATATTGTATACAATATACTTTATACACAATATATATCGTATATATTATACATTTAATATTGCATACATTATACAATTTGTAAACAATTATGCATAAAATACAAAATATTTTGTATAAAATGTAGAAATATAAAAAAGTGTCTTATAAAAACGAGGAATAATGGCCTACAGACTCGTTTGAAATCGGATTTTCAAGATTGCGATCATTTTTTAAATCTACCTGACTAGAGCAGATATTGTAGATTTTACGCAGACCCCGTCGAATGCGTTGATTTCAATGCTATCAAAATTTTAAAAAGGAATTTTTTAAAAATATGTTGAAACCCGATATTAGACGCCTCCATTTCCCCCCATATTCCTCACCCCCCTTTCCTTTTTGGTCCAGGGACGAAATAAACTTTGTTTCAGCGCAGCTCATTTTGTTCCTCCCCCATTAGATATTTGTGTTGTATCATGTGTAAATCGCTAACAATACTGTAACATTTGTAATAGTCCCATGCTCAAAGTTATAATATAAAGATAGAAATATCCAATAGATCACAAAGGTTTAAGTGTAAACTTGGTAGGAACATCAAATTACTACATTTACGTTAATGCTTGTAAATGTTAATTACCATAAAGTTTGGAAGGAATGTTTAAATGGTTCCAATGGATTTAGAAATAGCACTCCATAAAAGGTATAGGAAAGGTGCTCTACTTTTTACTTTTTTAGCGCATACATATTCTCTATTCCGCTTTGGTCCAAATTTTGCTGTCAAGCTGCGAAGCTGTCGTTCCAAGCTGTTCACTTCAATACCGTGAGAAACCTGAAACTTAACTACATGGGGGGATGTGAATTTGATACCCAGACAAAATATGAGGTGTAGCGAAAAACGAGTTGAAATCGTAACATTTAAACGAGGTTTGCTTAAGAAAGAGGTGCGCTCTTTTACATGGCTGAGACCTAACTGGAATATGCTGCTCCCCTCCATCTAACAGGAATATGCTGCTCCCCTCCACCTAACTGGAATATGCTGCTCCTCTTCATCTAACTGGAATATGCTGCTCCCCTTCATCTAACTGGAATATGCTTCTCCCCTCAACCTAACTGGAATATGCTGCTGCCCTCCACCTAACTGGAATATGCTGCTCCCCTTCATCTAACTGGAATATGTTGCTCCCCTCAACCTTTAAGATATCTAGATCCGAGATAACGTAACGATAACTCTACTCAAAGTCTAATTAGAATCTAAATGACTCTATCTCGCCAAACTACTGGTTCTCTATCCTTAGCCAAAACTCAAGGCTATGTATACGTCCGTATTAAATGACTAATCTCATTGAACTAATTTATTTTATATACAGGTGAACGAAACTGACCGGGCTAGCCT